ATAGCCATGATTACAGTGTCATATAGAATAATTTCACTGCCCTAAGAATCCATTGTGCTTCACCTATTCATTCTTCCCCCAGCAAGCTCCTGGCAACCACTGATCTTTTTAACATCTCTCTAGTTTTCCTTTTCCAGAATAGCATGTAATTGGAATCATACAATGTGTAGCCTTCTCAGACTGGCTTCTTTCATTTAGGTACATGCATTTAAGGTTCCTCTGTTTCTTTCCATTACAAGTCATGTCGTATTAGTCCTTTTTATTCTGGAGTAGTTCTCCATTTTCTTTTATATTTCATTATATTGACTTTTTAAGAAATACCTAGGTTGGAGTTTTATAGAATTTCCCACAATCTGGATTTGTCTGATTGTTCTCTCATGATTAAAGTCAGGTTAAACATTTTTGGCAGGATTATCATGTAGGTTATAGGTCTACAAACTACAACCTGCGTGCTGATGTGACCTGCTCTCAGTCATTACAAATAACGTTTACCGGAACACCCATATGTTTAACGTTCTGTGTACTGCTTTTACGCTTCACTGCCAGTGTTACGTAGTTGTGGCAGAGACTCTATCGCTCACAAAATCTAAATTATTTATTAGCTGGCCTTTATAGAAATAATTTGCAGACCCCTGATGTAGATGGTTTCTCCTCATTGCATCACATCAGAAAGTACTTGATGCCATTTTCTCCCATTATTGATTATACGAAATGAAATCATTTGGTTAAGGAGCTATCCACCAGATTTCTCTGTTGTAAAAATGCCTTTCTAATTTATAAGTAGTGTATAGAGTGATAAACATGGAGACTATTTCCATATCTTGTTTCCAGTGGTTTTAGCATCTATTGATGAACCATACCTGAATCATTGGTATTGCAAAATTGAGATTTCTCTTACTCTATCATTCCTTCTACATTTATTGTCTGGAATTCTTTTGTAAAAAAGCACTCCCCTGATGCCCATCTTTTTTAGAAAAGAATATTTTGCAGTTGCAAAGTCACACAACATTATCACCTTATCACAAAGGGACTGTTCCTTCAACAGTGTTGACGTGATGCTCTCTTGTTTTTACTACAAAATATACTATAGATTCTTTAGTTTAAATACTTAACTCTACAATTTTTTTTTAATCCTCCCCCCTACTTCCACCCCTGACCTATGGATGTTGTCGTCTCCCCTTAAGAACTGGATCTCTGAAGGCGGGGCATCTCCTCCCATGTGCTTGCGGTGCACACCCGGGACCTGGTGCACCTGGGGCCTGGGGCACCCGGGGCCAGGCACACCAGGGGTATGGACTGTGGCTCCACTGGGGCTCGAACTCAGGACCTTCTGCATGTAAAGCGCACATGCTAACCACTCTATGGAACCACCCCCTTAACTCTATAAATTTAAAACACAAACACAAAGTAATACTCTATTTTTTGTGGCTATGACTTATGGATTGAGGGTATAACATCTAAGAGAGTGTGCCACCTTTAGAATAGTTAGTGGTTACCTCCAGGAGAAAGGGAGGGGTAGTGGGAATAAGGAAGGACAGAAAGAAGGTTTCAACTATATTCATATTGTTTTATTTAATAAAAAAGTAAAGGATCTGTAGCAGTTACGACAATATGTTGACATTTATTAAATTGGTCGGTGAGTTAAATAAATGTTTTATTCTGCATGCTTTTTAGATTATTTTGTAATTAAAGTATAAAGCATCCTGATGGAGCTTAATGTTGGAATCTTACTATAATATCTGATAGAACTGATATGTAATAAGAAAAACTGATATATGTGTGTGTGTGTGTGTGTGTGTGTGTGTGTGTGTGTGTGTGTATATAATATTTGATATTATCAGGTTACAATGTTGGCACATTGTTCTGATTAAAGTTAGATCTTTGTTATTCTTGCCCATACAGATTAACCATTGAGCTAGTAAATTTTTGCCTTAGGTGTTTGTGCTTTCCTAAAAGTATTCAAATGTAGACCTAGCATCTAATAATAAATTACAAACTGTACCACTTCTATTTTTAGAGCTTGTACTGTAGGTAAAGAATTGTTTTATCACCCATTGATATTATAATAACTTTTCAGACTTTTGATTTTTATATTGAAATGTGTTTTAACATTTTAGTCTCCTTTGAAGTATCTTAATGTCAGCAGTATATTTATTAAGGTGCCTTATTTTTCTAATAATTAATTTTTCAATGGGTGCCTTTTTCAGAGACCTAAATGAGTGAGTAAAGTTAGTGGTTACCTTCCTGTGAATTTGCAGTAATGAAATATTAAATTTTTTTTTGCAGAATTGTGCAATCTTGAATTCTTCTGTAAAAGTTCATTAGGTTCCAAAGTTAAATTCAAAGGTGGGGGAAACATAAAATGAAAGAAAAACTCAGTGCAGAGTGGGAAATTATTTCCAAGATGTATGAGATATGCTAAAGACTTTTGCATTCAGCCAAGGTGGAGTAACAGGAACTAGACTTAGTCTTCTACTTGAAACTACTAAAAAACTATCCAAAATATATGAAACAATGGTTTTCAAATATTGGACATCAAGTAACACAGGACAGTGGCCCCAAGACAGGGGAGACAAACAGATGACCCCTATGATTGTGGCAGAGTACTGGAATGGAGAGAGCTGTACAAAGAGTGAGCGCTGGAATATGCAGAGCGTCTGGAACAATTTGGAGAGCATGAGTCATCATTTGAATATGAATAACACAAGTGTGTAAGGAAACTATCAGAAGCCAGGTAGGGAACCTCCTACAGGTAGTAGAAGGCAAAATGCTCAGAGCTCATAAAGGGGTGGGAATAGTTTTTGTTCACACCATCCAGAGTGGAAAACTTTGTAATTCACAGGTTATTGGGCAGAGTATCTAGAAGGGAATTTCTGTAATAGGAGGGCAAAATGAACACGACTAAATTCTGCTCTGCTCTCATCTAACAAAGCTCAAAAGCTAAAGGATCTGTTTCCAAGTAATTTAACTGTTCCAGAATAAAACTTAGGGTTTTTATAGGAATACAAAAGTATACAGCACTCAACGAAATAAAATTCACAATGTCCCATTTCAAATCAGACCTTACTAGTCATGCAAAGAAGCAAGAAAATATTAATTGTAATTAGAAGAGAAATCAATCGGAGCCAATCCAAAAATGCTGCAGATGACATAATTAGTAAACAAGGACAATTAAAACAGTTTTTATAACTATATTGCAAGTGGTTAAGAAGGTAGAGGAAAGATTGAGCATGTTAAAGACGGAAGATGTAAAAAAAAAAATAAAACAAAACTCTGAACCAGAGATGAAAAATGCAATGTCTGAGATGGACATACACTGGATAGGAGTAACATGTAGGTCATATGGGGCAGAAGAAAAGATGAGTAAATTTGAAAACATAACAACAAAACTATCTGAAATAAAGCACAGAGAGAAAAAAGATTGGAATAAAAATAAATAGAGCAGTAGGGAGGTATGGGGAAACTTCCGGTAGCCAAGTATACATATAATTTGAGGCCATGATAAAGGAGCTGGGACAGGAGGACAGAAGACCTGTTTGAAGAAATAATGGTTGAAAATTTGACAAATGTGGTAAAAACTATCAACCCACATATCCAAGCAGTTCAGCAAATCCTAGCAAGAGAAACATGAATAAAGCTACACTAAGACATATCATAATCAAATTGCTTACAACTAGTAATAGAAAAAAATCTTCAAAACAGCAGAGGAAAAAGGATCATTACATAAAGAGGAACAAAGATGAAAATGACAGTAGATTTCTCATCAGAATCAATGCATGACAGAGCATAGTGGAGCAATATCTTTAAAGTACTGAGAAAAAAAGTCAACCTAGGATTCTATTCCCATCTTTCAGAAATAAAAGCATAATGACTTTTCAGACATGCAAAAGCAAAAAGAGGCCATTGCCAGGAGACCTGAACTATAAGAAATGCTAAAGCACCTTCTTCCAACAGAAGGAAAATGATACCAGGTGGAAATTGGGATGTACAAAAATAAAAAGTATGAAAAATGGTAAACATGGGCTACTACAAAGATATATTCTTATTTTTCTTCATATTTACTGGAAAGGTGGCTTACTAAAAATAATGTTCTGCCTTATGCCTTCTTTACTCTTGGCATATCTTGAAGATCTTATCATATTAGTAGAAAGCTTCTTCCCCCCTTTTTTTGGTTGTTTTACAGTTGAAAAGTGTTTTATTGCTTAGGCATATTATAATTTAACAAGAACCCCCATTGAGGGACATCTGGATTTTCCTAAGCATTTGCTCTTTTAAACAATGCTACAGTTAGTATATTTGTAAGTATATAATTTCACATACACACAGACATACACACAAGTGTGCAAAGTATATACGAAGAATTCTCCAAGTAGAATGGCTAGATCAAAGGATATATGCATATGTTATTTTGATATGTAATACCAAATTGCTCTCTGTAGGGATTGTAGCATCAGATGTTACTAATTAAAACTAATACTATTTGAAACACTGTTTTATAAAGAATATTTACTCTGTTTTTGTTTTCTTTGCTGAGTTAGTTATATTGTTGGTTATCTGAATTTCGGTAAAAGTAATAAGATTATTCTAGGTCATTGGTTTCCACTACTGGCCCTAAGGTTTCCACTGGTTTCCACAAAGACTCTCAAGGGGTTCTCAGATTTTTATGATAAACGAACATCAACTATATAAAAATTAATGTTTCACACGTGTCCTATATATTTCAAATGTACATACATAAGATTGTATTTAATAAAATGCTGATTCATTTAATAGTGTTACTGAATTCTTAGTTCAGCTATTAACAACTCATCATCTAATCAATGATTCCATTGTTTTAGATGACCTTGGATTTTGCTGGCATGTTAGCTTCATTTGGTGTCCTATCAGGTTTTTCAAAGTAGCTTTCTCTGGAGGTGTAGGAGAACAGAACCAAAAGACTATGCATATACTATAAGTGTCTATTTGAATATTTTATAATAAAAATAATCTTTTTCTTATAGATGTTCCTTTAAGGACCAGCCTGCCACCACCATTCAGAAATTATAAATATGGTAACCAATTTTTCTTATTCTTTTAAAATATATTAATGTAACTTCACATTAGTTTTATGTTGATATGAATTTAAATTTAGTTTTTAAAAATGAATTTACTGTCTGTAAATAAAAACCAATATGGAATTTTATTTAGAAATATAGGCATTCTTGGATGTGGTTCCATAGTATAGCAGTTAGCACGTCTGCTTTACATGCAGAAGGTCCTGGGTTCGTGCTCCAGTGGAGCCACAGTCCATGGTCTACGGCCATGCCACCCTGAACAAGCCCGATGTCTGATCTCGGAAGCTAATCAGGGTCGTGCCTGGTTAGTACTTGTATGGGAGACCATCTAGGAATGTCTCCCATATTATTTATGTAGGCATAAATAATAATAATAAAGAAAGAAAGACGTAGTACTTGTATGGGAGACCATCTAGGAAGACCAGATGCTGTAGGCATAAATAATAATAATAAAGAAAGAAAGAAAGAAAAATATAAACATTCTAGTAGTGTGTTGTTAAAGTAGATTGTAGTAGTTTGTGAAAGTGGCCTGTTTGTGAGGAATAGCATGTTTGGCAAACTGTATCTAAAATGAATTTCTTTGCTAGGTAATCAGAAAAGGAGAAATGATGGAAGGAGTTAAAAGAAAAGATTTAGCATTTTTAAATGCCAATAACTTGAGAATATTATGTAGTAATTTTTTATGTTAACAGTTGTTGATTTTAAAATGTAGTAATAAGATAAGAAGCTGGGTTTCACTATTCATGATAAAGATGGTACAGTTATTAACCTTCAGCATAGTGACACTCACCAAACTTTGAATTTGAGACTTCTCTTGAGAATGATGATGCACCTAATAAATATTTCTGTTAATTGGTTCAGGCATTTTCAAGTATAAATATTTTATTACCTTAAATCATTTTTTGGAGTTGCTTTTAATTCTGTTCTCATTTGGTAGAGCAACTTATGACCTAAAATTCTTTGAAATCACGATCTTCACCGTGTGTATGCATTTTAATATGCAGAGACTAATTGTGAGGTTATAAGGGGTAGTCAAGCAGAAATTGAAGGCACTGAGTGGAAAGTACTTTGATTTAGTGGACTTAAAGAATTTACATACTAAATATTGAATAAGAGAAAAGAATAAAAAGCACAATTAAGTAAATATGAAACTTCTCAATTCTGGCTTTCATGCCTTGAAATATAACCTCAAACTTGAATCAATCTACAGATGCCATTTCAAATCCAAGAAGTTTGGTTTCCCTTTTTGCACTGTCTGTGTGTATATTCAAACTGTGTTCCATGTAAGTTATTTTGAAAGATAATTTTAGCTAATGAAAGCATCAGAATATCTGACAGCTAATCATCATGGTAGATAATGTACTTTTTATGTTATTTCACCTTATTAACACCCTTTCGTCCTAGTATTTCTACACTATTCAGAGGAACTGGCAGAAAAAAAAATGAATACATTTATCTGTGAAAAAACTGGAGAGGCACTAGGGTTTTTTGTCTTTAAGTATGTAGTATGGATTTATTGTTGATGCTGCTTAAAAAAGCAGGGTATGGACACAGCAGTTAAGGGCTTTTTCTAGGTTACCCAGATGATGCAGGACAGGGCACATTTCCCCAAGTGGAGGCTGAGACCAAACTGCACCAAGAGAAGAGGGTCCTTTGGTGGAGAGTGTAGAAAGAATTCAACACAAACGCCAAAGTTAGAGCCAAAAGGAAAGTTTATTAGAAAAGGAATAACACTCTACAGAGTGTGGTCTCTCGGAGGAGAAGAGTGAGAGGGACAGGGACAATAGAGAGAGACAGAGTAAAGGCACTGAGAGGAACACTCATGAGAGGGACCCTAAGTGTTCTAGGGAATTCAGTTTATATATTATTCTTTAGTTCTTGGGAGTTATAGTTTAAAAGACATTGTTAACCCATTTCCTTTGATATGGACATACAGTGAGGAAGGAAAGTGTATATAGTGTGAAAAGGTAAGAATATGTAGAGTGAGAGGCCTGCTGATAGTTTCCAGCCTTTAATCCATAGGTTCCCCATAGTTTTAGCCACAGAGAATGACTCTGTTGGTTCCTGTTTCCCCTTCACAAGTGTGGGGAATGGGTTGTTAGTAATCCCAGCAGAAATCTTCCTCTCTTCTGAAAATATAGTCCTGGCCTGGCTGCAGGGCTGATCAGCATATCGCAGTCTCTGAATATAGCTCGAGTAACATTTTAATTCTCTTGCCTCCTCCCTGTATTATAGAGATCCCAGGGCATCATCATCTCCACTCTCCTGACCCAGTGTGTGGTGGTACTTCTTTTTTTTCTTTTCATTTAGTAATCTTATTTTTTTGTTTTTTTAATGTTTATATATTTTTTCAGTTATAGTTGATATACAATATTATATTAGTTTCAGGTATACAATGCAGTGATTAGACATTTATATAACTTCTGAGGTGATCACCCCAATAAATCTAGTACCCATCTGACACCATACATAGTTATTAATACTATTGAGTATAGTCCCCACACTATATTCTACATCCCCATGACTATTTTGTAACTACCAATTTGTACCTCTTAATCCCCTCCCCCTTTACCCATTTCCCACCCCAATCTTGCAACTATCAAAATGCTCTCTGTATCTATGAGCTTGTTTCTGTTGTTTGTTTATCCTGGTCTCTAGATTCCACATATGGCATTTGTCTTTCTCTGTCTGACTTACTCCACTCAGCTCAATACCCTCTAGGTTCATCTGTGTTGTTGCAGATGGCAAGATTTCATTCTTTTCAAAGGCTGAGTAATATTCCATTGTATATATACACCACCTCTTCTTTATCCATTCATCCATCACTAGAGTTTTGATAGACTTCAAGTGACTCAGGCCTGAGTTTGGCTCTTTAACAATATGCTGCTTTGTTTTTAAAAAAAGGCCCAAGTGTTACTTTCTCACCTGTCTTTGTCCTCCAGTACTGCTACATGCACTGTGGGAATAGAACACTTTGGCTGTTAGGGAACGGAATGGGCACAGAGTCAAATTTCAGTTTTGTCAGTGGCTGTCTGCTGTGTCCTTGGATGAAGGGCTGGTTCTCTCAGCCAGGCCACTTAGAGTCTGAGATTTCTCAGTCCTTCATTCATTTATAATGTATTCCTCCTATTTAATTGGCATCTATATCTATTATTGATTTACCTTGACTAGGCTGTGTTCCTGCAGCACGGGGATGTTGTCTTAGTTTTAAATCCTTATTGCCTGGGCATTGTGCATGTGTGCAATAAATGTTGGTTGTTGTGCAGTGAGGGGCTGCTAATCCTATTTGTTTCATAAGGCTGTGTAAAATTAAACTATGCACCTGCAAATACATTAAATACTCCACAAATAAAAGATATTACTTTTGTTTTTGTGAGGTTACCTTCCTCAAGGAATTTGCATTAAGGAAACAATACCCACAGGTGTTGTTTCTGTTTATAATGGAGGTTTTTACAGAAGTAAAAACAAATGAAAGATTATTTAACAAAGAAAGGAACATTAATACAACACCTTTTGCTAGCTTGTCATTTATCCTTTCTTACTCCCTTCCCAAGTCTTACCAATTTCTGTTGGAGAGAAAAATCTGGTGAAAATTTCTCTTGAAAACATTTAATTTTTACTAAAAAATATGGCCTTCTTATTGTGGGGTTGCAGAACTTGTTAGAACAAAGATATTTCTAATTTAAAGGCTCATTAGCAAAATATATAGAACATGATAAATATTTGGTAATGTCAAACTCCAGTGTTGCAGGTCGACTGTAACAAACTTTAAGCAAGGTCCCTTTATTTAAAAATAAGAACAACAAACAAACAAAATTACTGCTGGCTTCTCTAACTTGTCTCTAATAATAAACTGATAACTATCTGTAATGAAAAAAAAGTGTGTAGTCAGGAATTCAGAATAATAGATAATCCAAAAGCTACATTTCTTTATTTTCTTGTGTATATTTTAAGCTTATTTTTAGCAGTTGTGGCATATTTACATTTCTAATGTGCATATTTCACTTAGATTTCTTTTTATTTTTTAACAATACATATAGTCCTAGGAGTAGGCTGAACTTGCATTAAGAATTGCAATAGATAATTGAAAATTGACTATTTAAAATAATGAGTAATTCAGAGTGCTAGTTCTTAACTGGATAGATACTCTGTTCTTCTGTATTATTAGAACATAGTTAAATCAAGGTCTTTTTTTTAATAGATCATTTCATTTCATTTCCCTGTTGGAATTCTTCATTGAATCAAACAACGTGATTGATAAAAATAAATTTTTAGATGTGTGTAATCGTAATATATTAATTAAATGGTTAAATAAAACTGAGTGAAGAATGAGAAAGTTTCTGAATTTAAACCTGTGGAATGCTATGTCTATTATATAATTAAGAATTGATTGCTAGAAGAGTTAGAATTTTACCCAATGTGGAGAAATTACTTATTGGAATAGCACAGTTTAGCTTGATTTCAAGATAAACAGATTAAGGATTGAAGGAGGGTTCGAATAAAAGTAGGTTAGACAGTGTGAGACTGTATAATATTTGAAAACCAGGAAGCAAATATTGATATTCTTTGTGCATTAGCAGCCTTGTTCAAATTACCAGTGATTTTTGATAGTGTTTAAATTCTGAGAGTGGTAACAACTTGTCAGTGTGATCATTTGACCTCCTGTCACTGTATTTATTAAGAGAGATTAGTAGATATTTTGGAAATGTTTTTGGTAGTGTCTGTCTTAATTTAAGACAATTTAAAAAAATATGATTTGCTAATCCTAGCATTTAGGGACTCCAAAAAACAGGATAATGTGGTTCACTTGTTTTTTATTCTAAGGGAAATGTGCTCAGTCTACTTCAGCTTATGGCATGCACACAGTTGTTGTGTCAAAAACCAAGGCTTTAAAATATCTTTATACAGTGATATGCAAAATATATAAGGATATACAAAAGTAATTTTTCTTTTACCGTATACTAGATTTTTAAGAGAACCTGGTCATAAGGTAGGGACTTAAGTTTTTCAATTTCATAGCCACCTCCCCCCCCATTTCAATTTATAATTTGAAATGAAGTTTTAGAATAATCTTTGTAAAGACAACATATTTTTTTCTTTCAGATAAATTAAAGATTATTCATCAAGCACATAAATCAAAGGTATGTTTCATATTTGTAGTATCTGGCGTGTAGCAGATAATCAGTGTTGGTCGACTTAGTGAAAAAATGAATGAAGACGTGCTTCTAAAATGTTTTCCATAATAATAAATAGCATTTTTTATTATGTTAGTACCCTATCTACAGCTTTACTTTTTCATTAAAGAAAAAATATCCCTGTTAGTAGTAGATCTTTTAAAAAGTGTCGATTAAAAAAAAACACACATGTTATATATCAAGCAAATGTTTAACATAAAATAAGCATAAAACTTGGTAAATTCATGTTACATATAAAGGAAGCCACTTATTATTCTGGCATTCCAGTCTCTTTAATTTTCTTAATTCTGTACCAGAAGAAAGGAGCCAAAAACAAATAAAAATAATCTGCTTTTCCCGACTTGACTCTTTCGGTGTGTAAGAGAAAGTGCAGGACTTTGGCTTTCAGGAACAAACCTAATTCCACAAAAGCATGGTCTGCAATCCTGACATTGTCTTACTTGCCCAAAGAGAACTGTGTATTGTGTGTTTACATTTCTATTTTCTCTTTTTTGGAGTAATGTTTTTTTATGAAGCCACAATCAAAGGTTCACTTCTTATACAGATAGACTAGAGTGATCTTTTTTCTTGAATCTCCATGACTTTTTATTGACTCCTCATTATAGCAGTAATCTTACTCTATTATACAAACTACTCAAAGACAAGGGAGCTTATCTTATTCTTCATATCTCCAATACCTACCACAATGCTTCATTCGTAGGAGTGTTTTCATGATAATTTTTGAAGGAACTATTTATTTATGAATTCACTTAATTTCATTCTCTTCTCTAGTCATAGATGCCCTTTATAAATTCAGTCAGCTTTCAAATAAATGTATACCAGAGATTACAAAAGGAATGGCATAGCCTGTTGACTATGAATTAGTAACTTAAAAAATTTTTTTCTTGTAGCTTAAAACAACACACATTTATTCTCATATAGTTTTGGAGGCCAGAAGTCCCAAATCAGTTGTACTGGGCTAAAATCAAGGTGTTGGCAGGGCTGGTTCTTTCCAGTAACTTTATTTTTTTATAGCAAAGTTCGTGTATATAAATTTAATAGTTCTCGTGTGTGTCTGGGGCTGTGGTGTGGAATCTGCACTTCATATGGATGCTGGAACGTCTCTCCCCTGTGTCTGGCCACAAACTCCATCCATTTTCTCTTCTCTGGGCCAGGAGTGTTTACAAACTTGTCCCTAAAATGTGGAGAATAGGAAGCTTGGTTTTATTGTAGAGGGGAATATATATATGTATATATATAATGTAAATATAAAATAAAATTTAAAAATGTGATCTTTGAAAAGGTAGAGTGTGTCATATCATTCTCCATTTGGTGTTGCATTTTTTCTTTGTTGGGCTTGTTCATATGCTTATGTTTCCTAAAACGAGTAATTAGGAAATTGTTCCTATATTCTAATGAAGACGTAGTTTATAATATTCAAATAATCAACATTATGCCATTTAAAAAAATCAGAAAATTTTTCTTCTTCAGTTGGAAATATATTAGAATTGTTTCTTATATTTAAAATACATGATCCCTTCTGGCATGTTAGAATTGTATAATTTGGGCTTATTTTTCTAGGTGAACAATGTATTTAAAGAGAAATTCCCAAAACAAATTAAGTTACTTAGAATGTGCCTGGAATCTGGCTTTATAAACTTTCATTTAAACCATAACAATTCTAGTTAAGTACAGACCTGAGGATGATTCTTCAAGTTTCCCCTTCAACTTATATAAAGAAAAAGATAAATATTTTTTACAGAAACAGTTTTAAAACTTCAGAAAAACTTCTCCTGCTTGTCCTCACTTGCACTTTATCCAACTCCTGGACCTTTTATCATTACCCATCTTCTATTCCCCATCTGCAGGGCCTGTAAGCTTCACTAGCCCAGCTTGTCAGTTTTTCACCCCAGCTATAATCTTAGTCTCTTTCCTCAGCCAAATAACTCCTGTATCTTAAGTTGTTCACAGAAGTTATTTTCCCCAATTTTCTAGATTTAGAGACTTTCTTCATTACAATTAGCAGATGTCTACAGAAATTTCTTACCATCACCACAATAAAAAGACTGTCTAGATACCTTAAAGAAACTAAAGAAGGTGATTATATGGACTAATATAAAAAAAATAAATAGCGAAGAATAGTCAGGAAAAGGAGAGAAATGAGAGTGACTAGCCCTAGCATATATTAGATATATTATGAAACTATAGTAATTAAAACAGTATGGTACTGTCACACGAACATGCTATGTTCAATAGCATAGAATTTAAAGTCAAATTATAAACCTCAAAATAGACCTAAATATATATTGGAACTTAGTTTATAGTAAATGTGGTATTTCACATTTAGTAATGGCATTTAACATTTACTACCCATATAGTAAATATGGAGAAAATATGAAGGATTTAATAACTGTTATTGGGACAACTGGGTAGACATCTCGAATCCATCTCCTTTATGCCAAAACAAATATCCTTTGGATTAATGACTTAAATGTGAAAATGAAACCCATACATTGGGACAGAGATGAAATAGATTGAACATGAGTGGATAATTTGTTCAAGCCAGGTGATGGATACATGGAGGGTTCATTGTACTACTCTGTGTACATTGTATGTTTGAAATTCTTCATAATTAAAAGTTTAAAAAGTGAAATTAATAAAAATCCTTGAAGACAACATGGAATTTTACTAGTAATCTTAAAGTGAAGATTTTTCTAAATGTTAAGAAAATTCAGAAACCATAAAATTTGATACAATTTATATCATTAAGCAATTTATTTAAGAAACATTCAGCACCTTTTTAAAAAAATTCTATGAGAAAAATCAAGGAACAAATGAAAACTGGAGGAAATTTTTCTAACTCATAGAAAAGCCTAATTTTCATAGTAGATGACAATATTCTATGATTTTATTTAAAAAATTATCCTCCAAGTTCATTAAAAAACAAAATATTCACAGCTTTACCCACAATAAAATAAATACAAATAAGACTGCACTTAACTTATACCTGTTTGGCTGACAAAAGTCAGGAGGTTCTGGAAAACAGGTTCTCTCAGTGATCGGTAGTGTTAATGTAAACTGATACCACTTCTCTGTAATTTGTCAATATTTGTCAAAATAAAAATTGCAAGTCCTCTAAGACTCAACAATACTACTTCTAGGAATTTATCTTACAGATAAAACTTGTACATATGCAAATGACACATGTACAGGGATATTGGTTGCAGGTTTGTTTATGGTAGAAGAGATTGGAAACAAACCAAGTGCCCATCAGTAGACACTGTGTGTGTGTGTGTGTCCCATAAAATATGCTGCAGCCTTGATAAATTGAAGCAGCTCTGATACTGATTTTGAAAGACTTTAAGTTATATTTTAAGAGAAAAAAAGGTGTTAGAACACAGCATTTAATGTACTACTTTTGTGTAAAAAAGTTTACATGCACATCTCTGCCTGCATGTGCACCTCCAGAGACAGTGTCTGGAAAGATACACAGGAATTAGTATAAGTTTTCCGGAGGAGAGCTAGGTTGCTAGTGGGTAGGGGATGGGAGGAGACTTACTTTCACTCTGTCCATATGTGCTTAGAGAACTTTGTATCCTGAGTATGTATTACCTATTCAAAAATGATCTTTTTAATTAAGTTGTTTCCCTTTGAACCTGTGTGCTCTGAAAGTCAAGCCCCTGTGCTCTGTGGCGAGTTAAGGCATGAACCGTGGCACATGATTCTGGGCCTTCTCTTTTGACTGTTCAGAGACCTTTCTGTTGACTGTCCCTCTCAGTCATATTCTAGAAGTAGAATACGTTGCTTGCTACATGGATGCATTCTGGTTGACGAGTGGTGCCATATGTCACTTCTTTGTGTTTTTTTAGGGGCAGATATGAACTCAAAATTTTCTCCTATGTTGTTTAACTGGATTTGTAAATATTGTAGAGGGAACTCATCCACTGCCACCCCAAATTGCACAGAGAAATTTTACAGTTAATAGGACTGTATTGGGATCAAATGTTTATTAGCTAGAGTAAGGTTTTTAGATATGTGGACTTTTGGCCATCGAGGTAAACTTGTTTCTCTCAGAAGTCAGACTGATCAGAGCTCGGACCTCAGTTCCATGGCTGACCAGGAACTGAGGCCTGTATTTTAACCTCTCCGATTCCTCCTGGAAAATTGTGAGGATGAGATGATGATGATGATGACGATGATGATGGTGATGGCGACAGCAACAGCTTGGCGGCGGTGGCAGCAACAACAGAACAGTAAAGTAACAGCTAACAGAGAGAGTGCTTGCTATGCTATTGATACTGTGCTGAGGGTTTTATATGCTACATCTCATTTCATTCTAACCACAAAGCAATAGAGAAGGTGCATTCTTTTCCCCCTTTTTACAGATAAGGGAACTGAGTATTTACAGAGACTTTGTAGTTTGTTGAGAACACACAGCTGGACATTGGTGGAGGCTGAATTTTAAACCCGTTCCAGCTCCAAAGCTTTGCATAGTGTGTGCACTTTGTAGGTAGTCACCATCTGTCCACTTCTCTCCTTATAATAATGGTAGTAGAATATGACGTAGATTATTGCTATGACCCAGAGTAACAATTCTGTCTTCGAGAAACCTTACCAAATCTGAAACACATATAAGTACTGATAAAATGCATGTTTTCTTTCTTATTAGACAAATGAACTTGTGTTAAGTTTGGAAGATGATGACAGACTCCTATTGAAAGAAGATAGCACTCTGAAAGCAGCTGGAATCGGTGAGAAAGAGTGCTGGGCAGTGCTGAGTGAGGGGCACCCGCTTTCCTGGCTCGCCTGGTGACACCTGGCTGATTATGTTTGGAGAACTCACTGCAAAGTAAATGCTACCCTTGGTGCTCTTTATACTACTTCATAATTATTCAGAGGAGGAAGATGAGCATGATGAACATTCAGATCACTTGAGGGCAGTGGATATCTGCTCTCCAAATGTTTCGAATGCCAGTAGTTCTCTTCAGAATATGTGCTCAGAATTCTGAGGTTTATTTTCAGTGATTGACAGGTTATTACTCACTTAACCTACTTACTCTTTTCAGCATCATTTGAACCGATGGTTTGAGAGAAATGGACCTGGTAGTAGAACTAATGTGGAATAATGAAGTGAAATGTTTGTAGAACATGCAGCATGTTTTCTCAGAGTCATCCAGATCACTCAGGGCCAACCAAGTCATGGAATTTCAAATAGAAGCCTAGTATGTACAGTTGAAAAAATTGCCCAATTTAGCCTTTCACCCTGGAAAAGGCATATAGTTCTAGTTTAAAGAAATGCTTTGTGACATATTTTGTGACCATTAGATGTCACTCTAATTCTACTTATATGTATACCTAAAGATTATCTGGCAATAGGGGTAAAGATTTTAAGAACAGTTAAATGCATTATGTCTCTGACATACTTTTGTGGTGGTCAGTGACTCTAATGAAACAGTACAAATCACACTTTTATAATTATTTATATGTACTGGTTAAGAGGTACTCGAAGTGAGGTCCATGCTAGGAAGCCTTACATTTTTTTGACAGGTGTTCTGTTGAATTAGTCACTTATGTCAGGAATTCACTTTTGAGTGATATGTAGGCTAAAGTGAGTTCCTGACATATCTTCCAGTTAAAATAAGATTTTAAATAACATGTTATGAAATCTTAGACTTCTTTTCTTTGTCTATACTATTTGCTAGATTTAGTGTTTTTCCCTTATGAATACATAAGATTGCTGTTATCTGAAAAAATTTTTATTTTTGCATTTTTTCAAATGCTATTATATTATTATAGTAGGTAGCACCTGTGTTATTGAGCATGTGGTCCCTAGGGGCCAGCACTGCTTGTTGTTAAAGCATAAAGCTATAATGAATATAATAGACTGGTATTGATGTAGAAATTGACAGATCCATGGTCTAAAAGACCAGAAAATCCAAAAACAATATGATAAGGTTTTGACATCTCTAGTAAGTGAGGAAAGAATGAATTATCCAGAAAATGATGTTTCACCCATTGCCAAACCATTTTGGAAAAAAAATTTTAATCCTTATGTCAGTCTTTATTCCAAAATAAATTCTAGATAATTTAAATGTTATAATGTAAAAAGTTTTTTAAAAAGTAGCTCAATAGTTTATAATCTTGGGGAGGAAGAAGAGGTCTCTAAGTATGACCTTGAAGGCAGAGCTATGAAGTGGGGAGAGATGATAGATTTGACCACATAAGAAATAAAAAATATAAACAGAGTTAAAGAAGAAGCAACAAACTATAAAAAAGTATTTGCAGCATATATGACAAATAAAAAATTATTAGCCTGACTTTATAAAAAGCTCTTATAATTAGTATGAAAAAGATAAATAAGAAATTCCACTGACAGAAGAAATAGCTAACATATGAAAAACAGTTCAGCCTTATTAGTCATGAGAAAAATGCACATGAAAATAGACACTGTTGTATGTATTCTGTTAGTTTAGTGGTTAAGAATTAGAGCCTGGAGCCAGAGTGCTTGGGTTCACAACCTGATTTGGCCACTTACTGTCTGGATGACCTTGGACCAGCAGTTATTATAAGACTAGCAGACATGAAGAGAAGTGGTAGCATTGGGAAATGGATACTCGTCCATACTACTGTTGGGAATGTATATTACTTCTGAGTTTCTGTTGGTCAATTTGACAAATAAGATTTTCTCAAAGTTAACGCGCTGTTGTATCTATTTCCAAGCCAACAGGAACATGCTTCCTCCAGCCCTGCGACTCTTGTTGAAGGTGTGATATGCCTTTTAAAAGATGGCAGTGTTCTCTCTCACCTTCTCTGCTTACGAATCTCTGATGTAGAGCTCTTTATTTATTGACTGGAAATAGAATATATTGTGCGATACCATTATTGTTTAAAAATGTAAATATATTTACATGTCTGTATATGTATATGGAGAAAAGGTCACATGCCAAATTTATAGAAATGGTTTTTCCAGGAGGTGGCATTGGGAGAAATTGATTTTTTATTTCTTCTCCATATTATCTGTTTTTGTAATTTAGATTTTTTTCTATAGTTTACATATTTTACTTCTAAATTAAGGAACCAATTTTAAAGAATAAAGTCCCAGAGTTGGAGAAAATTGATTTGAACAAGGGCTCTGAATTTTGCTTGTTTTGTAACCTTCTGTAAGCCAGTGAGCCTCTCTGAATTTCTATTTTGATTTCTATAAAACAAAAGAGAAATAATTAAACCTATTTCAGAAGGCTGGCATAAGGATTGAGTAAAGAATATATATGAAAGCCTGGAGGAGTACATGTGTAGGCCCTCAAAAATACTTATTTTATTTGGAAACCATTTTGGAGAAGGCAATTGGTAAATGTCTTGGATTTATTAAAATATTGAGTTGTTGGTTTGTCATTAATTTCAGATCTGTGTAATGAACCACCTATAAAGGTGACACTCAAATCCATTTTTTTGTGTTTCTTCTTTAAGGTCATAGGCCTTTAATCAGAATCAGGTTCTTTTCCCCGAGTCCTTCACTAGTTTCAGGGTGGTGCAAGAACTTCCACTGCCCTGCTGCCCTGGCAGGCCTGCAGTCCTGGTCAGGGGAGACTTCTGTCCTCGCTGGAATGATTTTCTCTCCTGTACGTTCCCCTCTGTTACCTACAGCAGTGTTGGTGTACTCGGGAGAACAAGCCACAGTTGTACAGGGGAAGGAGGTAGTGGTCCCTGCAGAGCTACAAAAAATTCTAAGTGGGAGTAGAGTTGTAAAAATGATCCTTGAAGTGTGTGATTTTTCTAGGGAATTTTCTCTCCCTCGGTTCCACGTCTGGTTAGATTTTTAAGAGGGTTAAGAGAAAAATTTCAAGTCCTCACTCTCTCCATTTTTACCACTTGATCTTGCTGTGGAGCTGTCATTTGGCGATCACAGACAGTTGCCATGGGAATAATGCCAATGTAACAAATTTATCATTATGACTTTTCTGCAAAATTCATGAAAGAAGAAGAAAGATTGTGAGGGGAGAAATTAGGGGAACAAACTTGTTTGAAGATTTTTTTTTTTTTTTCACAGAGAATTTCTCCAGTTCCTACCCAGGCCTTTTATCTGCATTGCAGATCCCAATTGTATATTCTGCCTGACGTGGGGGAAGTTTTTGTGCACTTAGTGCTAAAATATAAGTAAGAAGATTTGCTTTGTGGAAGGAAGAAGGCCACTTTACCTAGAATTGTTACTTATAATTTAAAGATTTTTACTTTGTTTTTAACAATTATAGTTTTATGGACTAATTCCCCTAAGCAATACATTTGCATGTAAGTTTTTGTTTTTGGTGATATTTTATCTCTTTTATTTTACTACTTTCTACAACTGTTTACACCTTTTGAATCCTCTCTGGTTTAGGTAAGAAATTGTGACAGGGTTAACTCCTCTAAAGCCGGTTGTGTTTGATTGGAAAATTTTAAAAACCAGATACAGTAGACTAAACCATATATTAATCTGAGGGAAGAGTTCATGTCAAGCCAGATCCTGTAATAGTTCCAAAACTCCCTGTGGTTTGATTTCATTTTGCATGTGTCTCCTTTTGTCTGCTCACAGCCAGACCCTGTCTTTGTGCCTGGCACTTTTTGGCTATCTCATCTGTACAGCTAATATTGTAGGATACCTTGCCTCTCATTTCTTTATTAGGAGGCAGTTGGCAGTTATGTTTCCTCAAGGTTTCAATCCCTGTCCCATTCTTTTTGGGGTAGTAGTATTCTGGGGCATACATGCTTTCCTCCTTTGACAGCATGTTAATGGTGGCTGTTCTTCCTGTTAACATCGTTAACAGATCAATAGCCGGTCTCTTGGTAAGGAAGATGGTGGGCCCCAGGGAATTTGAGATTCCAGAGCAAGGGGTCAGAATGAACCTCCCATAGATTTTTCTTCCCTGTTTACGCTCCCCTTGCCATTATGGAAATCACAGGCATGTGTCCTATCAAAGGTCAAATTTATTTTACTAATTGTTTTCTTCAAACTAGTTTGAAATCATCTCTGCCAATTGATCCAAAACAGACACTTGGAGCAAATATGAAATAAAAAGCACAGTAGTTGGGAACTCTTTGCAGGATTGTTGACCACCTTCGGCAAAAACAGAAATACAACTCAGCTGTGAGCAGAGTTTCAAATGATTTGTAGGTTAGGATTTTGTGGAAGGATAGGATGTATTCCTGGAGCAGGAGAGAAGTTGAAACTTTTTCCTTTTGGTCTCAAATCGCTGCAGAAACCACACCTTGCCCTTCTTGCATCTTTTTTTTTTTTTTTTTTGCCAACAATCTGAAATTATTATCACATTATAGTCTGCCCTGATCATTATCTGTACCACAAAGCCTCTACATACATGTCTTTTTTTCTCAGATGGCAGTTGCTGTGCCTTCCACTATTCTGGTGCTGACTAGTACGAGGCTAGGGATTTAGAAACTATGCAGTAAACCCTTGTTGATAGGTGGTTTATTGAGATAGGTTGGTTGAGGTGTTTAAGTATATTGCATTGAATTTTTCTTGAAATTTTACATTTATAATTGGTTTATTTTATTTGAAGTCATTATTTTTCCTGTTAAAGGGGTGTGTGTGTGTGTGTGTGTGTGTGTGTGTGTGTGTGTGTGTGTCTGACCTGTTTAGAAACATTATAAAATTATTCATTTTATAACCAAAGTTTGAATGTCCTGGCTTGTGTTCATTTCATTAAACTTGAAAGTCAATATTAAAATGATCTGCAGATGTATTTGGAGAGTTCTTACTTGATTTCATTTGATAGTAAGACGAAGGGATGAACTGGCAATATACTTATTGAATTTTAGATTGCACATTCATTTCAGATTCACAAGCCAAGGCACTATGCACCTGAGTGCACTGCCGCCTGCAGCACATTTAATTTAAAATCAGGTGCCCTAGGGGACTAGCACACGGTAGACTTCCTGAGGGTTCTTCTCCAGCCATTTAAAATAGAATTTGGGAAGCAAGAATTTACGGGATAATGGTACAAAGGATGATTCTTTAGAGGTCTTGAAAACCTTTTGTAATTCTTTTTCACTTTAATTGGCAAGTAAATTTGCAGTATAAGTACATAATATCCTTCTCTCAAACATTTTCAACAGAGTTTTACAGATTTTTAAAAACATATTCTATTTGTTTGAGAACCACATTACTAAAGTTTAAAATCCATTTTATGTATTACTTTTGAATGTTCAGAGTAATTGACTTTTAATTTGTATTGTTTTCCAGTTTGTTAAGGGTGAAAATTTTTTATCAACCTGAAGTTTTGAATTTAACTCATTTGTCAGTCTAGTTTGCCTGAAAAAAAAAATGCATTCATCTGAAAATAAAATCTTTACCTTAGGCGATCTCATTTTAAGCTTGTATTATGAGAGAGCATACTTTCTGTAAATAATGGATTGATCTGTAAGTTAATTAGACCAAAGAAAAACTGCACGTTAAAAATGCTTTGTCAGTCCTTTCTTTTTGTCAGTTCATTCCAAACCTGTTATTACTGTACTGCAGAGCTCTACAATGTATTTGTTTATCAAGAAGTACAGATAATGTCAGCTGCAGTAAGTGAAAACTGTAATTACAGTTAGCGTGTACTGAGTGAAGTGCTGTGTGGGAAAAGCAGTGTGTAAAGTTCTGTATGTAAATAGCACGTCAGATAAAACCTTGCATTGTGATTATTAAGAGGGAACTTTTGCTCATTCTCCACTAGAAAGATGATTAGAATCACTTGCAAATTATGTCTACCTTTGGGTAGACTTCCCTCAAAAAGGAAACCCTGGGAGCTTTTTATATAAAGAATAGATCTCAAAGGATCTTATCTTTGAATATTGGATGTTTTTGAAGCCCCCTTTTTAACGTTTTACTGATTCCAAGTGTGGAGCCTCTTACCCTTTCTTTTAAATGCTTTTTTTGGGGAGGTGGGGGTACAGTTTTAACTGTACAGTAACTAAATGCACTACTCCTCATTGATTCCCAGTTTCTCTCTGCTGTATCCTCCCCTGTGCGTGCTCACCCCCACCCCCGTTTATTGTAATGAGAGTTTGCAACCTGATTTTCATCAAGATTAATCTTCATTGAATCTAGAAGAAGTAGTAGGACTAGAATGAGGGTATGAGACTATGGCTGCTTTTATTTCTTCTTTCAACATTTCTGTAATGAGCATGTATAACTTATGATTGAAAAACATTAAATTTGTTATTCTTAAACCAAACAAAAACATTTTTAATGAAATGTCATGCTGTCTTTAATTTCCTTCTTTTGTGACAAATTCTAGTGATGAGATGAGAGTTGTAAATGAAGTGGTAATCCTTGGCGTCCTTCCTTATTATCCTATTTATTTGGCTTGAAGAGTTTTGCTTGTCTGTTTTTAGAGGATATGTTAATTGAGTGATCAGTATTCATTACAAATAATCTTGTCTGTTTTCTTGTTGAGATTCTGAAGGCCCTTTTGCTCTTTCTGTAAAAGCTAAGCAGACTGTATTAACTTCTGGTTTAATTTGAAAAACGAATGTGGAACTTGTTGGCGCAACACCTTAAAGAATTGCATGTTTAATAATTGGAAGGCTTTCCATCAGATTTGTCTCCAGTCTGAATTAATAATGTTGCTGACTTATTGTTTTAGAAGACGAAGTCCTTGACCTGCTAGGTTGAAAGAATTGTGACTGCTCTGAACCTTTGTGGGTCCTTTAGCTGTGCCATATCCCCTGTGAATAATTAGAGGTATTTGAAGGTATTGCAGTAGAAGCCAATTTGTGTCTTTCACTTTGCATATTGTTGAAGCCTCATGAATTAATCATAAGCAGGCAAAAAATTAACTTCTTCAGACACATATTTTGATGGGTCATGAGAGAGAATGTAAAGTGATCTGTAAAATATTCTACTGATCCTCTGAGTATTAAATTATTATACCTACAGGCTAATTTCAGAAGAAAAAGAGTTTTTCCTCCTCCTTTAGTAATTGAGTAGCAAATTTGAAAAAAATAAAGGTTTGTTACTTTCTAAGACTGTTAAGAGGACTATAAACGAGCAATTTAATAATTTCCTGAAAACTAGATTCTTGTGTTAATTCTTGTTTTTACTTTCAAATTATTTGAATTATAGATTCTTATAATTACAGTTTATACTTCTTGTTGATTTGGTGAAATGTGAAACCAAACAAATAACTAATCGTTCTCACTTTGGGCATCTTAAAGCACTCAATGAAAGTAATGTGGGTTTCCATATTTGTTTAAAATCCAATTTTACATTAAAAACTTTTTCCATTTTCTGTTTTTTTTTTTCAGCCAATGAAACTGAAATTGCATTCTTCTGTGAAGAAGATTATAAGAACTATAAAGCTAATCCTATTTCATCCTGGTGAAAACCTCAAGAGGGCTTCCTTTTTGCATACCTATATTAAGCTCTTTATTCCACTAGTGAGGTTTTGAAATTGACAAATAAACTTTTAAAAATTAACCCCAGGCTCTGCTATTTGAGTTAAAATCTGTGGTGTTTCTCTCTCTGCAGGTCTCATTTTTCTTTCTTTCTTGTTGTAAAATATATTTATTTATAAGAAAATGTTGCTTTTTAAAAAAATTAAGAAATAGTTATTAAAAAATATCATGGAATATTGGTTCTTTAGTCTAATTTGTTTTTCTGAAATTAGGGGATATTTTGGTGATTTGCATGTTGCATTCTTTAAAAATATTATAAGACTGAGGTAATCCTGTTTATTTTGTATATTTTCCATAGTTTCTAATTGGAGCCACTGTGATTGTCTTTGGCTAGTAGAGATTATAAGAGTCTCATGATTATCAGTGCCATCTTTTTGCTCATGGTGATATACACCGCCATACATGAAATTGAATTATGTATGTTTTAGGGCAGTTCATAGATGTAAGAGGATTTCTTCTTTTCTTTTAGTACTTCAGCCTACACAGATAACATTACCGAATTTTTTTTTTCTGAGTTGTGTTTCCTGACTTAAAGAGCAGACTATAATAGAATGAAATTCTTTTATTTGGACAGAGGAAGTAACAGGATGTTTGCACTTCTGGAAGAAAATTGTTCATTGCGAACAAGCCTAAGTCGTGGAAGACACATTCTTTCAAAATAATACTTTCAGTTCCTAATAATGGCTGACCACCAGCACCTGAAGGGTAGTAATTTCAAAGGGGCCTTTCAGCCAGCAGGTGTCAAATCAGAACTCCTAGAGAGGTTAGTTGGCTCTAAAATTTTTCCATGAACCCTTAAAATTGCCAGCAGGGCAAAACTGGTTTTATTGTGGTACAGGTAGAGGCCAATTTAAGAAAACACATTCTTTTTAAAAACTCACCTTTGAAAGTCTGGCTAACATAATCAGAAAATGCTTTGCTTTGTTGAAAGATTTAATAGAGCCTTATTTTAAAAAGAAATTTTATTCATCGTTTCATTTATTAAAGAAAGCGCTGAATGCACAAATGATCTAGGCTTCTGGGGATCTAATAAAGAATAAAATAAGATTCAGTTGCCTCAATGAGTGAGGAAAAATATGTAAGCAAGTAATTTTAATAGCAGTGAACATTGATGATGGGGTAATTAATTCTGTGTGGGATTAATTTTTACTTCAAAAGAAGTACCAGTTGAGCTTTGTCTTAAAAAATTGAATAGGAATTTAAATTATATATATGGCAACCCTTGGTTGACCGCACAGATTGCAAGGACCTTGTCACCTTACAATCCCTTATTTATTTATTTATTTATTTGCTTACTTACTTATTTATTTACTTATTTTTAAATTTTTTTTGTGCCTACAGCACCTGGTCTTCCTAGGTCTTCTCCCATCCAAGTACTAACCAGGCCCAACCCTACTTAGCTTCCGAGATCAGACGAGATCAGGCTTGTTCAGGGTAGCATGGCTGTAGACTGAATAGGAATTTTTGCTTAGTAGAAAATAAGGAAAAGGCTTTCAAGAAAGAGAACAGCACATATCTAAAGGCAAAGCACTGTGAGAGAGCTTGGAGGTTCAATAGAAAGTATACATTTCAGTGTGCTGGAGTGTAAAGCACTTGGAATAGAGTGGAAAAAGATAAAATTGGAAGGTGGGTTGAGCTAGGCCCTAGAAGTCATGCTAAAGAGTTAGAACTTTATCTAGTAGGTAGTTGGGAAACAGTAGAAAGATTTTAATAGGTAAATTGCATGATTAGATTGATATTTTAGAAAGCTTTTGTGGCAGTGTCCACATGGCAGAAAGACTAGAAGACACTTGTCATAGACCAGGTGAAGACTGGAAGGCCTCAAGGTAGGGCACAATAGTGGAAGAGGAGAGGAAAAGAGACCTTCTCGAGATAGTGTGAACATTTGGTTGTGCATTAGATGGCAGCATTGTGTTAGGTACTCTTCATATATTATCTCATTTAATTTTTACAACTCTTAAGTCTTGATGTCATACCTGTTTATAGAAGAGGAAATTGAAGCCTAGAGAGGTAATTTACCCAAGGCAATGCAGTAATGTGCACTGGGATTGGAACCAGGTTTGTCTTAAAATCCTGACCTCGCCTATTCGATCTCATGGCCTCCCAGTAGAGGTCTGAGGTGGAAGGACAAGTGGAGTCTTTGGTACTTGGTGAATGGCTGGGTGGGGAAGGCATAGAAGGAGTTGTGGAGACATCAGTGATTCTTGCTGTAGTAAGTGACTGGATTGATGGTGACAGCATTAACCCAAAAAGGGAATTTAGTAAGTAGAACAACAGGATAATGCGAGGTCCATTTGTTCATTTTGTTAACATTCAATTTACATACAAGCTTTTAAAGAAAAATTAAGCGTGTCTTTACCTGTATATTTTCTTTTTAATGAATAATCCAAAAATATATACATACAATCCTGTGTTTTGGTGTGTATTTATTATTAGAGAGTTACATAGGGGCTTTTTTCACTTATAGATACTGATGTTAAAGTCAGAAATAGAAATCTATTATGACTATAAAGGGCTTTTACCTGTAATGGAAATTGGTTCAAAATTATAGACAATCTATCGATGTAATTCACAGAATCTATAGGTTAAGGAAGAGATCATGCTTATCTCAACAGATGCCAAAAAAGCAATTGATGATACGCAACCCCATGCTTGAGTAAAAACTTAGAACAGAATGCCCTTAACTTGACGAAGGTTACCCCAGAAAACTACTTAATGGAGAAGCGTTGAAGCAAACCTGTTGGATATGACTAGGACAAAGATGACTACTCTCACCAAGACTATTCAGAATTATTCTGCAGGTTTTACTGTAGCAGATACAGTAAGAAAAGTAAGAAAAACCACAGATACTGGGAAGGAGGTGACAAAACATTTGCTGACAGTACGATTGCAGGAGAATCAACTGAGAAGTTATGAGAGCTAATAAGAGACTTCAGGAGTGCTTGATAATGAACTTCAAGTGTGCACAAAAGCTATTAAAAAATGTCACTAGAGGATTTAAAAGACCCAAATTGAGATTATATGTTCAAGGTGGAAGCTCTGGTGTTGTAAAGAGGTAGATTTATATCTAATCTGTAATTTAGTGCAACCTCAATCAAAATCCCGAAGGATTTATGTTGGAATTTGAGGAACTGATTTTAAGATTCATATGGAAAAGTAAATGTGCAAGAATAGCCAAGATTAATTTGGAAATATTTAAAAGTAATTAAAACAGCTTGGTGTAGTGATACAGAAATAGACAAAAAAAGTCAATGGAGTATAGAAACTAATGTGTTTGAAAACTTAGTATATAATAAAGGTCATATATGTAATCAGTGAAGAAAAGGATATTTAGCATCTGGCCAGACGTTAAAAAATGATCATGTCCTACTTCCTACCATTCACTAAAATTTCAGATGGATTAAATAACTAAACATGAAAAACAAGATGAGTTTATTAGAAAAAAATATGATTATATTTCTGAACTTAGAGTGGAGAAGGCTTTGTTAAAATGCAAATACTATAATACTAGATTAAAAAATCATAAAGATTTAATGACAATGAGAGAAACTACTTGCACTTATAAAGAAGACAAAGGATTAGTTTTCAGAATATATGAATTATGATAAGTCAGTGAGAAAAGGACAAACGTGCGATGGAAAAATAGATACATTTTATAAAAAGAAATTCAGAAAAAAGGAAACGTGGCTTATAAGCATATAAAAAGATGCACATCCTGTTTTTCATGGAAATTCATATTAAAAACAATAGGGTACCATTTTCATTCATCAAGTTGGCAAAAAGTAAAGGATTTTGGTAGTAAATATTGGCAGTGATGTGTGCCTACACTGCCAATGGGAGTATAAATTTGTGTATAGCCACTTAGGCAAGCAATTTGGTGTGATATCTATTAAAATAACAAATGAGCTTATTCTACTGACCCAGCAGTTTCACTTCATATAGTCCATCCCAAATAAACCTCATGCCTGCAGAAGGAAGCATTTAAAAGGGAATTCACTGCAGTGTTACTTATAATAGACAAACACTATAAACAAATGATGTCAATAGGAGAGTAGATAAAAAAAACTGGTATATCTATATTCTGGATTACTGCGTAATTTAAAACAATGAGGGACATCCATGTTATTTACTGATATGGGACGATCTTTGAGACATCTTGATGAATGAAATTACAAAGGGATTTGTAAACTGTGATGTTATTTGTTTTAAAAAGCACAAAATGATAATATATAATGTGCATGTATATGTACATATATACATGTGTATGCGAATATAGACATTGTATATTCATATGTACATAGACCAAAGTATATACACCAAATTGATAACATTGATTACCTCTGGGGAGGGGACAAGAATTGGGAGGTACAGGTGGTAAAATGCTTTATGTGTAATGTTTATAAAGAAAATGTATTTGCATTAAGAATTAGAAAAAACTAATACCTGTATTAGTAAAGAAGCAGGAAAAAAACTCAGATAATTGCCGTTAACATTTGGCATATTCCATGTAGGATTTTTTTCAATGTCTCTGATCTTTTTGGTGAGTTAAATTATACAAGTAATATTTACTTGTTAAAAGCAATCAACTCTAAGGTAAAAAAGTAAAAATTCCCTTCTTTATAGGTCAGCCCTTTACATCGCTGGTGTTTATACTTTCAGATTTTTATTTTCTGTGCACATATCATTTAAACTTACATTTTATTTTATTTTATCCTTTAAACATATATTTTAAAGCTTTATCATTTGATTATTTTAAAACATTATGATTCTCTTGAATAGGGTCTAGAAGTCTTGTTTTTGAATCATCAGTATGTGCCAGACAGTACAAATGTTTTATATATTCTCATTTAAGTCCTCGAGTTCAATAGAGCTCTGAGTAGGCCCATCTGTGAAATAGAGAAGATAATGACCACCTTGCAGAGTTTTGGGGATGAAGTGAGACACTTGCCCCCAAGGCACTTAGTAGACAGCACCTAGCATGAAGTAAGTGCTCATTAGATGTTGTGATTTCTGATATGAGTG